GCCTGGCTGGTGTGGCTCAGTGGTTGAGCATTGGCCCATCCACCAGGGGGTCATCAATTCAGATTCTGGTTGGGGCCCATGCCCGGGTTGTGGACCCAATCCTCAGTGAGGGCATGAAGGGGGCGGCCAATCGATGTTCTCTCTCATCGATGTTTCTATATCTCTCTGCCTTTTCCTTCCTCCCTCTCTAACATCAGTAAAGAAAAAAAATTAATATATATAAAGCACTTAGAATAGAATGTGGGGATACATAGCACACCGAGTAAATATTATTTATTATTATTTTATCATTTATTGTACTGAATTGGCACTATATGTTTCCTAGTCTGTCTCTCTCAAGAACCCAACTTAATGTTTGTATCTATGTGCCTGGCCTAGTGCCCAACAGACATACTGAATAGATTTTGTTGAATGGGTGAATTATAAATAGGGCTTCTCTTCTCCGGCAATTAGTGGGTAAAGCCCAGGACAGATGCCAGTTTCAATACCAACATTCTACTGTGTGAGTCTTGAGTCCCTACCAAAGGGCCTCTCAAAGTTAGAGCATGTTAACAGTGGCTGCCCTGGGGCATCTCCCCAAAGAGCGTAGCATACAATCCCTGGGTGCAGATCACTTCAACACCTTATCATCCTCATGTCTCACTCCCCACCTGTCTATTTCTTCCTTCCCTTGTCCCTGAGCATGAACTCATGGAATAGAATCCCTCTCTCATGTTGGTCTCTGCCAAGTGTTCTATGCAGCAGACTTTGACTTTCAATCCTAAGAGCTGAATGTATGTGACCTACTCCCACCTCTTATTAGTCTCCACCTACATTTTCCCCCCACATGATCTCATCTAGTTTAATGGCTTTAAATACCATGTTAGTGTGGATGACTTCCAAACCTGTTACTCCAGACTTAACTCTCCACTGAGATCCAGACTTAAATTTCAATTGTCTGCTTCACGTCACATCTTACATATCAAACAGGATTAACAACCAAAATAGTTTCTCCCATAAATATTTTTCTCTGTCTTCCTCATCTAAGTAAATGCTCCATAAACTTCTTCCTTTGCGGAAGTAAAATATTTAGGATTCATCCTTGGTTTCTCTTTCTTTAACCCCTATAGCAGGCCAATCTCTTTGAATCTGCCTTCAAAATATGCCAGCATCTTATCACCGCTCATCACCTCCAGAGGTTCCTCTGTTTTGTTGTTGTTGTTGTTGTTAAACCTCATTGGAGGATATATTTTCCATTGATTTTTAGAAAGAGTGGAAGGGGGTAGGGAGAGAGAGAGAAAGAGTAACATTGATGTGAGAGAGACACATCTATTGGTTGCCTCCTGCACCCTCATGGGACCTCAGGGCTTGTGGATGATGCTCTAACCACTGAGTCATGCCGACCGGGGCCAGTGGTTTCTCTTGAGAACAAGCACCATCTGCTTGACACGGTCTGTTGCAGTGGCCTATGACTGCTCTCTTCCACCCTTGCCTCTCCCAATTCCATTCTCTACACAAATAGCCCTAAGGATCTGCTTAAAAACAAGGTAGATCACACTACTCCCTGTTTAAACCCTCTATGAATGGCTTTCAATTCCATTAGGAGAATATCCAAATTTCTTACCATGACCAACATGGCTTTCTTGGTCTTGCCCTTTCAGTAACACAATGTTCAAAGTTGAAATCTTTATCGGGCACACGGATTTAATGATTCGAGATTTCAGAGTGAGTTGCCAGTTCATGATAGGCAGGTTGTCAAAGGAAATGGATGTAAACCACTTGCAACCCTTTGGTAAAATAAAAGGGTTGAGACAGTAAACGAGAAAAGATGTCTTCAGGAACTTCAGGAATACATACTTAGAAAAAGCTGCTTGCGAGTGCTGCTCCATGTTGGGCAGAGGAGGACTAAGAACGCCTCCCCTCACAGCTGGTGGTGGTCCAGAGCGTCCATGGGGCCACTCACAAAGCTTGCTGTGTTCTTTCTACAGCCGGGGGGCCCAGTGCACTAGGGCTGGCTTCTGCCTGGGACACTAAGAGAGTGAGAGGCAGACAGACTGGCTAACTTGGGAGGGGAGTCAGGAGAATGGAGCTCTGTTAGGATTGAGGGATCAGGGTTAGGGGGCCAGCTGTGAGCCACAGGAGAGAGGACACGTGTGTGAGAGTGTCCTGAGAGCTGACTAATAGGACCTACTAGAGTTTGGAAACTCCAGCAACTACAGTTTGGTGTAGGGGCTGAGGCAGGAATCCCAAGGGATCACTCAAAACAAAGATGCCTTCTCCTCGTCGGAGGAACTCCAGGAGAGGAGGCCCAGTAGGGACTTCCAGATCCCCGAGAAGTCCCCATGAGGGACAGAGGCGGCGTAAACATCGGCCAGGCCCAGAAAGCACAAAGCCAGATTGCTTGGGTTCTCGTCCACGTGGGACTCTCCTGCCCCCTTTTCTGTCTCCTTCTGCATTCGCTCAGCTCACAGGGGTTGAGCCTGGCGTTGTGTAGTTATGTAATATTTATATACAGGGCAACAATGTCCAGTTTCTGGTGTGAGTCTGTTTTGTAACTTAGTGATCTTGGGGCAACCTGTTTGATACGCGTGCAAGGAAATGTCACGTGCTCTGCTGGAGTTCTTATTCTCTGGCAAGACAAGATGCCCTTGCTAAGTAAAGGTCGCAGGAATGGGGGAAGAGAATGAGTAAGATTACGGTTTGGTGATATTATGGATGTGGCCAGTTATACATGGAAAAGTTCTACTTCTTTTTATTTTATTTTATTTTATTTTTTTATTCTTACCCGAGGACATTTTTCCATTTTTTGTTCAGGTAGAGTGGGAGGGAGAGAGAGGAACAGAGAGAGAGAGAGAGAGAGAAACAAACATCGACGTGAAAGGAACACATCGAGTGGCTGCCACCCACACGACCGACCAGGGCCGGGGACAAACTGCAACCAAGATACGTGCCCTTAGCGGGAACCGAACCGGGTTCTCTCTGGACCACAGGCCGACGCTCTAACCGCTGAGCCAAACCGGCCAGGGCGGAAAAGTTCTACTTTTTTTTTAACCGAGATACGTGCCCTTAGCAGGAACCGAACCGGGTTCTCTCTGGATCGCAGGCCGACGCTCTAACCGCTGAGCCAAACCAGCCAGGGCGGAAAAGTTCTACTTCTTCAGGCTCCTCAAGCCATGTCATCCCCTGGGAAACCCTCCTCGGCCTACAGGTCTGAAGGAGCTCCTGTACCTACCCTCTCCCACCTCTCTCCAGCAGCCATACTCTTCTGTTTCCTTCAAGGCTCTGATTACTATGTGGAAGTGTCTCGTTCCTGTGTGTGCTAATTGTCCGTTACCTTCCACTGGACTGCAGGTCCCATAAAAGCAGGAAGCCCACTTCTTTGGCTCACTGTTCTGTCCCAGGGACTAGAATAGGTGCCCTGGGTGTATAAGTGCTCAATAAGTATCTGTTTATTGAGTGAACGAATGAATGTGAAAACCACATAAGGAACAGATATCTGAGAGTGAGAAAAATGCATATTCACCCAACTTCAATGGGATCTCCCTTTATTGTGAATTATTTTTAGTACAATTCTACATTCATGCTGCGGTGGTAACGACTTTCACATTATTTGTGGGACTAATTTTCTTCGTTGACCTTTTCGTGACAAAGTCACAATGTAAAATGATACATAGACATAAAGACGTTTTAAACAAATGTGGAGGAAGGACAAATTTGATATATTAAGCAAAAAGCATTTGAGTATGGGTTGATTTGAATCTATTTTCATTTGAGAAAATGGTTTTATTTTTAACATGATCTCATAGGGATCTCTCTCTCTCTCTCTTTTTTTTTTAATGTATTGATTGATTTGAGAGAGAGAGAAAGAGAAACACTGATTTGTCGTCATACTTATTTATGGATTCGTTGGTTGCTTCTTGTATGTGCCCTGACTGGAGATCAATCCTGCGTTCTTGGCATACTGGGATGACGCCAAATGAGCTACCCCATCGGGGCAGGGACCGCTCTCTAATGTTGGTGTTGGAGGACAGGGCTCACACATGCCTTGTAGCTACAGAATCTTCAGTGTGGTTGACAGACTTAAGTTGGCCCCGCAGTCCCCCACCCCTGGTATCCTCACCTTTGTGTAACCCCCTCCTTTTGAGTGCCCATGGAGAATGTGACTTACTTCTAGCCAACAGAATATGACAAAGGTGACAGATGTCCCACCTGTGATTACATTATGATATTCAAGACTCTCTCCAGAGACTCTCTGCTGACTTGAGCCGCATAGAAATAGCCCACTTGGCAAAGACCAGGCAACCACTAGGACCTGAGGGTGATCTTCAGCCAACACCCAGCCAGAAGCAGATGCCCTCAGTCCCACTACCACAGGAAATGAATTATCTCACTGGAATCATAAAACTGGGTGAAACCATCGTCAATCATTTACACCTCAGGGCCCACAAAGGGTTTAAGAAGAGGTTTGCTACAAAGGTGAACCAAGGTATCCGACCTTGAAGGACATGGCTGCTCCTAGGGAGGGTGGAGGTGTACCCGGGAAGCTTGGCTAGATACAGGCTTCTTCAGCTTCACCGTTTGCTTAGGTCTTGGCCATAAGATCGTCTCTCTATTCTTCTTGCCTATAGACTTAAATCTGGAGAATGATTCTAATGGAGAAGAGTCTGTTCACAGGGCCCAAGGATGGCATAAGAAGGATGAAACTCCGTCAGAGACTCCCTGAGAAGCCCTCTACATTGATGTTAACCATGGCAACATGAAAGTAAAGCCAGAGAAAGCAAATGAGGAGCAGTTGCTGGGCATGGTGGTAACTGAGCCCAGGGGGAATTTGCATCCTTGCTGAGCCAAGCTCACCTGTCCTCCATCCCCTGAGCATCTTCCTTCCAAGTGAGCCCTGGCTCAAAGGCAGAGCCTGGTGTTCTTTTCACATCCCCCGAGGAAAAACCCAAAGAGGACTGTGAGTGGGGGTAGGAGGGAGGTCAAGGACTCAGGCAGGGGTGGTGGCCAGGGGAGGGGCCAAAATGCAGCTGGTATTCACAGCCTTCTTTATGCTGCTCTTTGTCCTGCTGTGTCTCCTGGGCATCCTGGCCAACGGCTTCATTGTGTTGGTGCTGGGCAGAGAGTGGAGGCGGCATGGGAGGCTGCTCCCCTCGGACATGATCCTCATCAGCTTGGGTGCCTCCCGGTTCTGCCTGCAGTGGATTGGAATGGCGCACAACTTTTACTACTTCCTCTACCTGGGGGAGTTTGGCACAAGTCCCTCCCGACAGCTCTTTGGTCTCCAGTGGGACTTCCTGAATTCGTCCACCTTCTGGTTCGGCACCTGGCTCAGCGTCCTCTTCTGCGTGAAGATCGCGAACCTCACGCACCCCACCTTCCTCTGGCTGAAGTGGAGGTTCCCAGGGTCGGTGCCCTGGTTTCTGCTGGGCTCTCTCCTGATCTCCACGGTCGTCACCTTGCTCTTCTTCTGGGGAAACCGCGCCGTGTATGAAGGGTATTTTGTTGGGGAATTTTATGGGAATATGACCTACCAGGAGTGGAACATGAGGATGGAAATTCACTATTTCCTGCCCCTGAAAGTGGTCACATTGTCGATCCCTTGCTCTGTGTTTCTGGCCTCGACGGCGCTGTTGATCAATTCTCTGAGGAAACACACTCGGACCATGCGGAGAAGTGCCCACAGCCTGCAGGACCCCAGCACGCAGGCTCACACCCGAGCTCTGAAGTCCCTCACCTGCTTCCTTGTTCTGTATATCCTGTCCTTCATGTCCCTGATCATCGATGCTGCAGGCTTCTTTTCCACAGACAGTGGCTGGTACTGGCCCTGGCAAATTTTAATCTACCTGTGCACCTCTGTCCATCCCTTTATCCTCATCCTCAGCCACCTCAGGCTTCGAGCGGTGTCCAGGCGGCTGCTTCTGTTGGCCAGGGGCTTCTGGGCAGTCTAGGTGGCAAGGGCTCCTTGTCCTGACCCCCAGGGGACCCTCAGGCGAGGACGGCAGAACCACGGCCCATTTACATGGAAATATCGTCACAGGCACATGTCTGCTGGATCATGCTTTGAAACAGACAGCAACATCTGGAACTCTCTAAGCATGACCCGATTCAAATGGGGCCCCAAGGGCCCAGAGAGCCAGTATTGTCCGGAGGATCAGAGGACAACATTCTGTGCTGCGCTCTGTGTCCTCTCTGTCGTGGGGAGGCCTGCAGTTGACAAGTCTTGATTAATTATCCTATTTTATCCCGACAGCCTAATGGGGAATGAAGAGAAAATATGTCAACTGAATCCGGGTGTGGATGGGGAGGCAGCCACCTTCGTGAGGACAGTGTCAAGGTTACTGCTAAGGGACGGTGTGGTGGACAGGGCCCAGGGCTGAGGTCTAAACGCACATCCTTCTGTAGAGATTATTTTCCTCTCACTGAACTTGGTTCTAACCTGATTCAAGCCACTGGAAGGTTCTGTACATCACCCCATCTCTCTTGTCATTGCTGTCTCCATTCGTCTGCCTTTGAGTTTTCTCTTCCCTGAAGTCTAAGTGGCAGCCAGACCTCGTCCATGTTCATTCTTTGTTCGGAGTCACACATTGGGGTTTTCTCCATTGACACGTTGTCCCTGGACCATTCACTCCCCTCACGCTCATGTCACAAAGTCACATGTGAACTGAATAAACATGCACTTTTCTGAAAACAAACACTCAAGAATTTCACTCAGTTTGTGTCCAAAAACTATTTAACCTCTTTAAAATTTTTTTTTTCTTTTATTGATTTTAGAGAGAGAGAAAGGGAGAAGGAGAGAAAGAGAGAGAAACATTGATGAGAGAGAACATTGATTGGCTGCCTCCTGCATGCCCCCCACTGGGGCCCACAACCTGGGCAAGTGTCCTGACCAGGAATCGAACCGGTGACCTCTTGGTGCATGGGTCAACACTCAACCACTGAGCCACACCAGCTGGGCATTAATCTCTTTTCTAAAAAAAATTAAAAGAATCACCCTATTAAATCTTATGTTTAACTGTTTTAAAATAGTTTGCTCCAATTACTATGTAAATGTTTTGAGAAATAATTTTGTGGAAAATTTGAATTAGAGCCGGGTGCCCCGAAGGCAGGCTTAAACATTTTTGCTAAAAGGCATCAATATGTAAATTTCACAGACCAACCTGCAACTGGATTCCTGACAAGGAGACATTTCAATCTCTGCGAGGGAAAATAATTTCCCTACCAATGAGTGTGAGTGTGGCTGAGCGGAGCATACTCATGAACTGGAATTTCGGGGCAACTTATTCTATATTTTTGTTTTAAACATTTCTTTTTTAATAGGTGGTACATTCGTATGGTTACACATTCAAAATTTACTTAAGAGTGTATACAAATCTTCCTCTTTCCCCTTCTGAGGCTGTCTTACCAATTTTAGTTTTTTTTTTATGTTTCAATTGTAGTTGACATTCGATAATCTGTTTCAGGTATATTCTTACTGGCGTTTCGGTCTGTCCTTCTAGAGATATTTTATTTTATAGCAGAAAGCCAATAAAACCTAACAAGCCAGCCAATAAACTTGTGCACATCTAGGAGCTAACTAACCAACTAACTGATTAACCATGTTCTCCCTGTGTCTTTAAAAAAGTGTCTTTTAAAAGAGTCTCACCCAAGGATATGTTTATTGATTTGAGAGAGAGAGGAAGGTGGGGGGGAGGGGGGACACAGGCAGACAGAGACATTGATGTGAGAGAAAAACATTGTTTGGTTGCCTCCTGTCTATGTCCTGACCGGGGATTGAACCTGCAATATTTTTGGTGTATGGATGACGCTCCGACCAACTGAACTACCCCACCAGGGCTCCCTTATATGGTCGTACAATATATGTGCTGTTCTGCGGGTCGCAGACCGCCATGTAGCCGTAGCTGATCCTTCTACCGTTTCCCCAGGGCTAGCAAAAAGAGCTGGGCTCCACATAAGGCAACGGAGCTAGTCTTCTCTGGGAGGAGGTGCACCAGCATCTGGGGGACCCCGCTGGAGGTGTAGCAGAGGCCCACCCCCGAGAGATTGCAGGGGAGGAAGGAGGTACATGGGCAGGTGCGGTTGGGCGTCCAGCCGGTCAGCAGGGTGATGAGCCCAGCTGGGTCAGGTGCTAGGCAACCCCAAACAGGACAAGAAGTCCAGGCCAGGTCTGCCTGTCACTGGAGAGCTGCATTAAGACAAATGCACCCACCCAGCTAAGGCTGTCCCTCCTCCAGGACAGGTGGCTGGGCTGTTGCGGGAGGCAGTGGGCAGAGAAGCCAGAATCAGGACCAGGGTCACAGTCTGGAACTGCACAGAGGACTCGGTGAGGAATACCAGGACTTGTATGTTTTCTCCATTAGACTCTGAGCTTCTCGAATGATTTTTCTTCTTATACAAAGATTGCTAACAAATGTTTCACAAGAAAACATTTTGGTTGGGAGTCTGAGGACTGGTGCCCTGATCCCAAGATGTAGGCCCGGAATTCCCCTTTCTCCTTATGACTCAGGCGGAGTCAGTGGTTCTTCCTGATTCGCGCATCTGCCAGGCTGGGTCAGTGACAGGGAAAATCGCTCCCTTGTTTCTCAGCCTACTGATTAGGCAAGCTTCGTCCTAGGCTGATAAGATCAAGACCTCACTGTAGAACATTATACCAACTATAATTACGTCCCAACTCCGTGAGATGATGCTACTTCGTTGGTGACATGCTGGCATTTATTTCAATGCCAAAGCAAGTGATTAGCAGAAGATGATGCACACACCACTGACTCTCAGTGACAGCATTTGGAAACAGCCGGTGCGGCAGATGAGGTCAGTAAGGGTGTGCCTCTGAGACCCTGTGAGCTTTGTTATGTATAAACCCTTGGCCACAGCAGAGACAGGTTTGTCTACGGGACACCTCCCTGTTTCCGCTCCTGGTCTTTAGCCTCCGTCCAAGGATAAAGATGCCTTTCAATTTTGTTAATATGAACGCCCTAAGCGATTTTATAGTCTATTTCTCTGTTTATTAGTAGCAGGTCCCTCTAGCCCCGTTTAACATGAGCCTTGTATGACTTTGAGACCTGGTATGCCTTTTCCTGTCGTCTAGTAGCATAGTCAGGGGAGACCGCAGGGACAAGGACAAGAGTCTAGCCCATTTGAATGCCTGCTAGGGGAAGCTTGAGAAGGAAGGAAAAAACTCCCGATAACAGGGTTCTCCTATGAAAATCCTGAAGGGTCCATGGTGGGTCCCAGAGCAGGTGGGTCCACGTCGTCTACACATTAGCATCACCTGGGATGCTTTGAAAGCTCCGAAGTCCAGGCCACGACCCAGAGTGATTAAATCGAATCTCAGACGGGTGGAACCAGGCGTTAGCATAAAAGCAACTGTTCATGTTTCCCAGTAATTAAAACGCGAAGCTAAGTTTGAGAATCATGGCTTCAGAGGAAACCTCGGACCCGACCTCTGAAGAGTCAAAGCATGGGGTTTGAGAGAGGACTTTGTTTTGAGACAAACCTTGAAGAGTTTTTGAGGAGGAAAGCTCTTTTGAGAAAACTTCTTTTTGTTGTTGTTGTTTGAAAAAGTTGAAGCCATGAGAGTTTAAAGGACTTGCCTCAAACCCCATGATGAGTCAGGGAGAATGTGATCCTGGGCCCCGAGCCTGGTGTGCTGGGTCTGCCTTGGTCTTCGCTTTCTGAGGTCTGGCCCAAGAACAACGTCTTAGAACATCTCAGACCCAAGGAAGAACCAGCGAGTATCACCTGAGGTGATGCGGGAGAGAGCCCTTCGTACGTTTCAGGACTTTGTCCACATGAAAAGGGTTCACAGGAAGGATCTGAGAGATGAGTTACAGGAGGCAACGAGATAGAAATGAAAAGCAATTCAACCCAAGTCTTTCTAACAGGGTGTTACCAGAGACAGGGCTCATGGTCGGATGGGGTGAAGGGCAGAGCAGCTGGTTACGTTCCTCAGTCTTTCCTTGATAGTTGGAACCTACCCTCATCCGGCCCAGCGCTGCCCTGGCCAGAGGTGTCACTGTAGGAAATGCTAACAATAGAAAGTGGCGTTGGTGCAATGTCCAGCCGCTGAGTTTCTGAGACTGGACCTGGGATGTGAGCTCCTGGCTTTCCACAGAGACTATTTTTTTTGGTCGGCATAGTACGTAGTCCCCAAATTTGGCTCCTGAGTACGGAGAACAGCACCTGAAATTCTCACCATTAAAGAGGATACAGTGCAAAATGAAAAGTCACAAAAGCATGAAAGTTGGAAGGAACTTTTAGGATCATTTCAACCTCATCATTTTACAACTGAGAAAACTGAGACTCAGACAGCAGGAGTGATTTGCTCGAGGTCCTTCTGCCCATTGGGAGCAGAGCTGGATCCGGAGCCCGAGGACCACAGTCCCCCACTCTTCCTGCTGCATTCTGTCGTGATCCTGCGAAGCACAGGGGTCTGTCACAGCAGCCCGTGGGCAGCAGCACCCACAGAAGGACACGTAGGGCAGGTGTGATTTGTGGGTGGAGGGGGAGGTCAGCAAAGGGATAGTGTTTGGGGTGTTCCTCTTGGGCAAGGGGGTATGGTGAGGTGGAGACTTTGAACTGCCACAAAGTAACCCAGGGCAACAGACTGGAGAGTAGTTCGGACAGATCAGTGCACAGAGGTCCAGCTCATCAAGTCAGCTGACCTGTTTCCATTTCATTGTACAAGGGAAACACCCACTTCATAGCTGAGTGAGAGTGTGTAGCCCACACACCAACTCTCAGATTTCTGGGCAGCCAGAGGTGGATCTGGAAAACCCCTGCACCCAGCCCAGCTTCTACATCCGCTTTCTGACTCCCGACCAGCTGTTGGGAGGGTGGAGAGGGCGGTTCCTTTTCTCAGCCTCCAAACCGATTGGCACACAGTTAAGGACTGACTGAACGGACGCACACCGTATGGAGGAGGGGCCTCTTTGAAATTCATTCTCACACTGAGCTGCTCAGGGTAGGAATTTCTTGTAGATGTCTGTGGAGTCCACTCTGTGAGACCACCTTAAGAATGACTCCACTCAGAAGGGTCTCTTTTTCATTGTTGTTGTTAATCCTCACCCAGGGATATTTTTTCCATTGGTTTTTACATAGAGTGGAAGGGGGAGAGGGAGAGAGAGAAACATTGATGTGAGAGACACACATTGATTGGTTGCCTCCTGCTCCACCCTGACTGGGGCCAGCCTTGAACCTGCAACCCAGGTACATGCCCTTGACTGGGAATTGAACCCGTGACCCAAACAGACAAACAAATAACCTAAACTCTAAAACTCAAGCAATGGGACAAGTAGGCAAATATTTCAGACTCCTGTCCCTTATTTTAGCCTATGACTTAATGATGTCTTCTTTGGATAAACTACATGTATGCACGTTTGCTATGGAGAATAGAAGTATTCTTTTATAAACAAAAGATATGTTTGAATTATTAAGATGAGAAGGTGTCAATAGATTATTGTCCCAACTGTATCAGACATCTGTAATGTTTAGGTAAGGGTTGCTTTATTCTGATTTTTAAAAGTCGTCTTTAAGAACATGTCTCTGGACAAAGTCATTGCTGCTTCACTCTCTACCTTAGGATGTGTTGAGCTCAGTCGTTAACCGTGTGCTGCTGGGGCAGAGCCGCATGGTCACCAGTGGGGAACTGCGACCCCTCCTTGCAGAACTCTGTCCACCTCTGATGCTGTGTGCCATGATTTCTAGTCCAGTGTGGCAGCTTTATCCCCCCTCAGTTCTCACGAAGATATCCTTAGGGCTGACTGTGTAGAAAGACACGTGTTTGGGTCCTGAGCGTTGGTCTCTCTGGCTAGCCCTTGCCACCATAGCACACGACAGAGGGAGACATGCAGAATGATGTCCCCGTGCCTCACACAGGGTCCAGTCCTCATCGGGGCGGTGGGGACCCTGACCGTGACCCTGGCTCTAAGTACCTGTGTGAATCCCCCACCCTGCTAGCTGGGCTGGACCCTGTGTGAGTCTCTGGGATGACCTTGGCACTCTGGTTAAGGACACTTGATCCCATGGGCACGGTGAATTTTGCAACTCACAGCTTCCCCTCTCCCCTTTTCTCACTGATTACAGAAAAGCTTTGACATACAGGTGTAAATTTTAGCAAAGAAGTCCACTTTCTTGGCATACATTTTGTGTACTGCCCTGACTTCTGATTTAATCTTCTTTTCCAATTTATAGGTGCCACTACATATTTCCGTTTAATTTTTCTGTAGGGTGTATGTATTTCTAAGTTGTAATTTACACTTTGCAGACTAAGTCAGGACCAGAAACAGAGTCCAGAGATAAAATTCCACTTTTCCGTTGCCTCCGCAGAGCAGTGCCTCCCACCTGGCTCCTCCCACCTGGCTCCTCCCACCTGGCTCCTCCCACCTGGCTCCTCCCACCTGCCTCCTCCCACCTGCCTCCTCCCACCTGCCTCCTCCCACCTGCCTCCTTCCACGCGCGCACGCGTGCTACATGCTCTTAGGGCCAAGCCGTCTAGCGCTTCGATCCGATCCGGAGCTCCTGGTCAGAACCCGGCTCGCAGCAGCCTTCATCTCCTTGTTCCGCAGGCTGTAGATGAGCGGATTCAGCAAGGGGGTCACCACAGCATAGAAGAGCACCACCAACTTGTCCTGCTCCGCCGAGGCTGCAGAGCGGGGCTGCATGTAGGTGACCAGGGCCATCCCGTAGGACATAGAGACCACAGTGAGGTGGGAAGCACAGGTCCCGAAGGCTTTGCGGCGCCCGTGGGTGGACTGGATCCTCAGGATGGCGGCCACAATGTAGGCGTAGGACAGGGACACCAGGCAGCAGGGGACCAGCAGCACCACCACGCTGGAGGCCACGATGACTGCCTGGTTGAGGGTGATGTCCACACAGGCCAACCTGACGAGTGCCAACGTCTCACAGGCCACGTGGTTCAGCACGTGGTGCCCACAGGTGGGCAGGCGCAGGGTGACCACCGTCTCCACTGCGGAATTAGCCACACCTACCAGCCAAGAGACCATTGCCAGCACCAGGCAGCGCCTCGGTCCCATCGCTGCCACGTAGCGCAGGGGGTCACAGACCGCCAGGTAGCGGTCATAAGCCATTGCAGCCAGGAGCAGGAACTCGGTCCCCCCGAGGGCCAGCGAGAAGAAGAGCTGGGTCCCACACCGGGCAAAGGAGATGGTCTTCTTCTCCAGGACCAAGTGCACCAGCATCTGGGGGACCCCGCTGGAGGTGTAGCAGATATCCACCACCGAAAGGTTGCAGAGGAAAAAGTACATGGGTAGGTGCAGTCGGGCATCCAGCTGGATAAGGAGGATGATGAGGCCGTTGCCCAACAGGGTCAGCAGATAAGCAGCCCCAAACAGGACAAAGAGTCCAGCCTGGGTCTGCCTGTCACTGGAGAGCCCCAGTAGGACAAACTCACCCACCCAGGTCAGGTTGCCCCTCCTCATTGAGTGGATGGGCCAGGCTGCAGAGGGAGGAGAATCGGAGGGAGACAAGAACAAGTCATACTTTAGTGTGTCGTGGGCTCGGACTGGAGCTGGAATGGGGACACGTCCCTTCAGGTTCCTTAACCTAGGTGCTTAGTGGAGATTGCAGCAAAGATGCTGGAGAAGGGACAGTTGGGGTCTCACCCTCACCTGTGAAATTCTCAAGAGCAAAGTCCCTGTTAAACTCATCATTTTATGTCTAGGATCCAGCACAGTTACAGTTACATAGGAGATAATCTATCAATGTTGAGAAAAGACAGAGAAAAAAAATGTGTTGGAGGAAAGGCAGAAAAAATGATAGAAAGAAGGAAAATAAGTATGCCCATCAGTCAGATGAGGTTTAAATCTTGTAAAACATTTTCAGCTCCTCCATGTGCCGGGGACAGTGCGAGACATCAGATACCCATTTGTGAACAAGACAGACAGAAGCACAGGTCTTTTTTCCTTACAGGTTCTTGGAATGTAATCAGGCACACAGATTAAATTAATAATTACAAAAATTAATTAAGTATTCTTGTTCCAAGTGCTATGAAGAAGACGAACAAGGTTGCTAGTTAATTGAATTTTTAGCGGTGATTAAATGACCACAGCAGTTAGGCCTTCCTTCTTAATAATGTGTAATTTATATAGTAAGTGGCAGGCATTTATCTAGATGTTTAAATAAATGATTAACAAAATAATGTAATGAGAGCATTTGGAAACCAGTGATACTTACATATTACTACTGAGTATAAACTGACTGCAGTCCCCTGAGACTGTTTTTCAGGGGGAGTGAATTCTCCTTGCTCAGCTAAGATCACACTGGCCTCTCTCCCTTCCAGCATGTTGACCACTCTGCTATAAAAATGGAATTAAATGTCATCTGTTTTTCTTAATCCAAATGTAATCTCAAGGCATAGTTCCTGCTCTTAAAATAATTCATAAATTTACTCATTTATTACAAATATTGCTTACATGAGGTCTGATGCCTTCAACCAGGTTCTAGGTAATGCTCTCTTTGTTTAATTTTTTTTTTTCTTTAATCCTCACCTGAGGATATGTTTTTATTAATTTTAGAGAGAGGGGAAAGGAGAGGGAGAGGAGAGAGAGAAAGAAAGATCAATGTGAGAGAAACATTGATTGTTTGCCTCGCATACGCTCCCCGACTGGGGATCAAACCCACGACCTACATATGTGCCCTGATTGGGAATCAAACTCACAACCTTTGGTGTACGGGATGACGCTCCAACTGACTGAGCTACCCAGCCAGGGCGGAAATGCTCCCCTTCAATGTTAGAAATTTGTGTTTAGAAAATCAGCAGCGCCACAGAATCAAATAAAAAAATTAAAAAAAAAAATGTATCTTGGTAAAATCTGAGAATTGAATAAGAGCTACACACAGGACAAGTGCAATACTTTGGTGTTAAAACCAAAGTGGAGACATGGGATCAGATACCGTAGAACTGAAAACACACCCCCATTCAGATTTCTTCTGGCTGGAAACGGTGGCCTGTGCTCTTACTGGTGGAGGCAGAGAGCAGAGAGAACCTGGATGGGCATCCTCTTGCCCGTTCTCAGCCCTGGCCCTGCAGTGGCTGGAAGCTGTCACTGTAGAAACTAAGACTAGAAACTGGCTAGAAGGTCTCAGGGTTGGTTGGAGACTGGGTTCTAGGGCCAGAGCCTAGTAGCTCATGGCTGGCAGCGGTTCTGAACATGGCCCAGGGAGCCTGCGGCTGCCCACAGAGCCTGGTCCTCGTATCAGCAGAGGAAGTAACTCAATTCTGATCTACTGTGATCCAGAAGCTGCTACAGCATCCAGAATCCTCACCTTCAGAGTCGCTGTCATGGATCCAGAGTCCCTCCAGAAGGATGCTTACTGTATAAGAATATAAGAAATGTTATAAATGAAAGAGACCATAGAGATTATGTTTACCATCCTTCTCGTTTTACAGACGAGGAAACCAAGGACTTTATTTCAATAAAATTTGATGCTGTTTTTAGAGGATGATGTACTATTTTTATTAGTAAATAGTCTTATCCTCAAATAGAGAATGTCATTCCACTTTACTTGATTTAGTGAATATTTAGTAGGGCCTCGCCCAGTGGCAGGTGCTGGGGTAACAGGGATCGATACAGCCTGGGCTCCCTGTCCAGGAACTCAGCCTGGTGGCAGGACAGAGAATGAGTTATGATCTTATCAGAGTTTTTAAAGGAAAGGAAGCTCAAGTATCAAGTCTGGTCATTGGAGACATAGAGTTTGCATATCTAAATAGCCAGGCAGATATGTAGAAATAATAAAGTAAAAGTGAAGAAACAACCAGTCCACTTGCTTCTTGGGGGAAAAAGTAGATACGTTTAAGGTGGATGTAGATTGGAGACCTTGTTTTCAACCTGTATCGATAAACCACCACCTAGGTATTATTATTTATTTATTTTAAAATATGTTTTTATTGATTTTTTTAGAGAGGAAAGAAGGGAGAGATAGAAACTTTGATGTGAGAAACATCTATTGGCTGCCTCCTGCCTGCCCCCACTGGGGATCGAGCCCAAAATCCGGGCATGTGCCTTGACCCGGAATCGAACCCAGACCTCTCAGTCCATGGGACGAGACTCAATTCACTAAGCCACTCCAGTCGGTGACCTAGGCATCATTATAAAGCACTGCCTTGTTGAGCCATATTTTCTTTGCACAAAAAGCAAGCTAAGCAGACAACAAGATTTCTCCCGGCTCTAAAGAGCTTCAATAAATGAATGTACATCAGCTCTTGTTTAAAGCACTATAAAAAGGGGAAAAGAAATTCTTCCGTCTTCGATCACTCTACGTTGTAGGACTAGAGGCAGTAAAATATTACGGGGCCCCGGGTTTGGGAATCAAAGCATTCATATTACACACGACTGTTTGGGGAGATGTCAATGGCTGGGACTAGGCTGACTTGAGAAACGGAGGCTAATGAAATAGGAGAGGAGCCACACAAATAGGAATGAGAGAACCTCTTGGGTCAAGGCTGAGAGTCTTGTTGATTGCTGGTACACACGTGTGCTGCTTTCTGAAGCTGGTCCCAGGTATTTCCTAGAGTGAGGTAATCCCTAACACCAAGGTTTCCACCAGCTCAGGGGCCCAAACTGAGGCAAGATGGAGTCTATGTCTATCTTCTGTTCTTACAGCCATCCCAGCCCTTCTCCATTCCCTCTTCAACCTTAACTCCAACACAATGAAAATGCGTTGTGGCCAAGACAAGAGCTCGTCTCTTTTGATCTCTACCCTTCAGTTCTTTGATTGTATGTCTGGATATACCAAGCAATTCACTTTATGCTGCTGACTGGATGACTGACCAAGACTGGGGGCTCTGTTGAATGGCTCACAAATGAGGAGTTGCTTGTCTAGGTCCCTGGAAGAACCAAAGAGCTTCTAGCTACAACCAGTGAGAAAAGCATAGAGGAGGATCCCAGGGCAGTCCTGGCTGCTCCCAGGGATTTGGGCTGTATCCTCTCAACCCCCTCGTACCCTTGCCTGTGGGGGACTCACCAAAGTTGAGTCTTCACTTATGCACTGAAACTATGTTGGACGAGAGGCAACACATCTCTCAGGAAGTCCTGAAGCAGTTATCCATCCTCTTCCCGGGAATGGAGGTTTTACTTTGTTAGTCTTCACTGACACTTTTCAGAACCTAAGAATCCCCAGAGGGCAATTACTTGCTCTTAGTGTGTTTCTTTACTCATTCTCTCCCCACCCACCCCCTACTTCTCGGCAACCACCACGGCTCCTCATTCTTCTAAGTTCCCAATGGGATAAACATTCTGAAACTGTTTTCTCTCAACTTTTAATTGTTCTTCTAGTTACCAGGCGAATGAGCCCTTCCATGACTCTTTGGGGTCATTCACTGCGCTTTAAGGCTGTGGCATTGCTGGAGACTTTTGGCAGGAGTCAGGAGACAGGAAGAAAGTCTAAGCATGGTCTCCCTCCCAAGGGAAGAAAATAAATGCACCTTCTCCTCTCCTTCCACATATCTAGTTTAAGAGATCAGGGAGTGCTGAGTAAGCATTGCACAGTAGAATCATTATGTCCATGGGCTGGAAGCCATTGAGAAGTCCCAAGTTAACAATCATTAAATACTTCTACAGACGCCTTGGTGGTCTCCCATATCACATTTCTGTTGCACTGGGTTTTCTGTCCATATTTTCATGCTACCAGAAGCTTTTCCAGATTTCACTAATCTTGATCTTCCAGTTCTTAATCACATTCCTCAAAGTTTTAATCTCTTCACTGGTGTAACTAGAAGGAGCAGAGAAAACAATGAGTCAGGGTGGGGTTTTATTTCCAATATTTACTTATCTGTTTCTATGGTAATAAAATTGGATGTTTGGTAACATGGGAAGGAAAAGCAAGGACACTCGAGGAACACCCTAGAATTTGTTTATAATAATTGGCCAATATCAGCAAGGTACAGGTTTAGTTATCTTGAAGATTGTCGCTCTCATGACAATAGAGTGGGGGAGGGTGGTCTCAGTTCATGCTGTTGACTTAGTGCACGATATGGAGAATCTCAAGTTCACCTCTGCTCCTTTTACCATCCAGCTAAGCCCAGGACCCAAAGGACCTGAAGCTGTCCCAACCTCAACGTCCATCAAAAGAAACCGATGGGGCCTTCTGACTTAGAGTGGAAGCCAACAGCTGAGGGAAGGGCAGAGGTAAAAAGAGGTCTGAGGGCACCATGAGGGAGAAGAGGAAGAGACAGTGGCACCTGAGAGGTGGGATCCTGGTGCCCATCGAAGGTAGACTTAGTATGAACTGATACAGGGAGTCAACAGTAACGGAAAAGAACTGCTGGGTACCATCTTCCAGACGACATAGTCGTGATCATTTCATAAAAATATTTTCTTGTCCGGCTGGTGTGGCTCAGTGGTTGAACATCAACCCATGCATCAAGATGTCGCCAGTTTGATTCCTGGTGAGGACACATGCCCAGGTTGTGGGCCTGACC